AAATAAAATGGCTCCGTCCGTGTAATATATATTTTTTAAAATTACAAAACTAAACAGRCTACAGTATTTTTACAGTCTTTATTTTACAGTTAAAATGTATGTTTATTAAATAAAGTCTAATGTTAGAACTAATCCTGGATCTCTTTAAGCCTGTTTGACTCATATAAAGCTCATTATCATCGTCGGCTACATTTGAACACGAAGGTGTTTTTGTGTTCAGGAGTTCCTGCTGAACCGCCTGCACCGTGACCTGCAGGCTGGCGTGAAGGACCTGTCCAAAGAGGAGAGACTCTGGGAGGTTCAAAGAATCCTGACTGCTCTGAAACGCAAGCTGAGGGAGGCCAAACGCCAGGTAAGCTTTACTTGTTTTATTGTCCTAAAATAAGATCTAATTTGATGTGGCGGCAGCAGAGAATCGTCCTCAACGAGCACTTCAAACACTTTTTTTTGGCCTGTTTAATATTTGTTTTATRTGTTTTTCTGTTTGTTGGGTTTCAGGAGTGTGAGAGTAAGATAGCCCAGGAAATCGCCAGTCTGTCAAAGGAAGATGTGTCAAAAGAGGAAATGACCGAAAACGAAGAGGAAGTCATCAACCTGCTTTTAGCCCAGGTGAGTCATGTATGCAAACTGGACGGAGTGATTAAAACAGAACGTTGTGCTGGATTACATAAATCTGCTTCACACTTTTTTTTCCTGGATATTCAGGAGAACGAGATCCTGACGGAGCAGGAGGAGCTGATCTCTCTGGAGCAGGTGCTGCGGAGGCAGATCGCCACGGAGAAGGAGGAAATCGAGAGGCTGAGGGCCGAGATCGCAGACATTCAGAGGTGAGGGTTTGAATTAAAATCGGCCGTTGCGATCAGAAACGGGCGGTTCTAACTGAGCTGGATCTYTTCCCTCTTTATCAGTCGGCAGCAGGGCCGCAGCGAGACGGAGGAGTACTCATCGGACAGCGAGAGCGAAAGTGAAGATGAGGAAGAGCTGCAGATGATTCTGGAAGATCTGCAGAAACAAAATGAGGAACTGGAGGTATTCAAGAGAATTTCATAGGACAGGGTTCTGAAACTTGCAGCTTTGGGGCCACATATTACTCTTTGAAGCTAACATTCTTTGGTTTTTATACTCACAACAGAACAGAACAGCTTTAGCAGTTTTTCTATCAATTTATTTGCAAATATGTAATTTATAATACAAAGGGTGAAACATGGTTTAGATCATGCTAGTAGGCTGTTAGCCACTTCAATAATCCAACTTCCAGCCTTAAAATATGATCTTCTCCCAAATCCATCAGGGTTACCTTTAAAGACCTCTAAGACTAGATAATAGGAATTAGAAACAACAATCAGCATAGTTCACTTGTTTTTATTAATATTGGTAGAAACTATAGTTTTATATTGTCGCCCCCCACTTTCAATAAACTTGAAATGGCCCACAGGCTGCCAATTGATAAACCCGTTGTAGCACGTTTTATGGCTCGGGACATGTTTTATTAGTAACACAAGGAGTAGAAATGTCTCTTGATTGTAAAGGTTGCAGACCCCTGGTGTAGAGTAATGATTTCTAAGTTTAGAGTCCTTTTGGGTCTGCCAAAGATCGCAATCGTTCTTTGAAATTATTGTATAAAATTAGTTTTGCATTTGTAAAATGAAAAAGTGAACCTTTAAAAGTAACTACCGTATGTTTAAACAAATATACCATAGCATATCATAGCGTACCATAGCATAGCATAGAATAGCATACCGTATTGTAGCATATCATAGCATACCATAGCATACCATAGCATAGCATAACATAGCATACCATAGCCTACTGTATCTTATCGTAGCATAGCATACCATAGCATAGCATACCATAGCCTACTGTATCGTATTGTAGCATAACATACCGTATCTTAGCATAGCATACCATAGCATACCATACCATAGCATACCATATCATACTGTAGCATAGCATACCTTATCTTAGCATAGCATACCATATCATATTGTAGCATAGCATAAAATACCATAGCATAGCATACCGTATCGTATTGTAGCATAGCATACCATAGCATAGCATAGAATAGCATAGCATAGCATACCGTATTGTATTGTAGCATAGCATACCATACCATAGCATAAAATACCATAGCATAGCATACCGTATCGTATTGTAGCATAGCATACCATNGCATAGCAAACCGTATTGTATTGTAGCATAGCATACCATACCATAGCATAAAATACCATAGCATAGCATACCGTATCGTATTGTAGCATAGCATAGAATACCATAGCAAAGCATACCGTATTGTATTGTAGCATAGCATACCATAGCATAGCATACCATAGCATAGAATACCATACCACAACATAGCATAGCATTCCGTATTGTATCGTATTGTAGCATAGCATAGCACACCATACCAAAGGATAGAATAGAATACCAGAGCACAGCATACCATATCATATTGTAGCATAGTATAGCACATCATAGCATACCATACCTTAGCATAGAATACCATTCTACAGCATAGCATGCCATAGCATACTGTATTGTAGCATAGCATAGCATAACATAATATAATATAATCTTATTAAAATCACTGTAATGTTGTTGTTGCCCTCCAGAACAAAAACACCCACCTCAACCAGGCCATCCACGAAGAGCAGGAAGCCATTCTGGAGCTCCGAGTCCAGCTCCGCCTCCTGCAGAGCCACAAACAGCAGCAGGAACTGACCGTCCAGCCGCCGGCCGAGCAGGCTCCTCCCCCACAGCCGAGCCCGGAGGCCCGAAGTGAGGAGCAACCCAAACGCTCCGTCCCTGCTGTGGCCGTAGTCGCCGCCGTGGAGACGCCTGTCTCCGCCAACGGAAAGACAACCAAGGACCCTTCGAAGCCGTCGCCGAGCAAAGACAGGCGGGACACAAACATGTGAGATCCTGTCGAAGGATCGTGAAGGAAGCATTTCTTCACGATTGTGTCCACCAAGTGGCAGCCAAGGAGACATCTCTTATGTAATCTGTGGCGTCTTGACTTCGTCTTTTATTTACCCAAGCAAAACGCAGAAACTAGAAACCGATTAGCGGCTGTAGCAGACGACCGGCTACCTCTGCGTGAGACTCCCAGGGACCATTTCTTTTAAATCTGCAGTGCCAAGCCTGTTTAAAGAAGGAGAGGGTGTAAATGAAGGGATCCTGAAGCTAGAGGGGGCAGGAGGAGTTTGTTTTCACTGGTAATTGAGTTAAGAAATGATCTCTAAACAAGATGTAGCTCTAACTCAGTTTTATCCCTCAACTAAATGCAAATTTCACGTTAGGATAGTTACCACTGTGCCATAACTTCAGACGCTAGAAAAGTCCCAGAGAACCACTAGTAACAAAAGCTCTTTATGATTGGATCATCTGTGTGTTATATTTAGATGATATTCTGACAAATGAGAGGAAAAACACTGATTTAATTTATAGCTTTTGATTAAAAAACAGAATAAATCTATTCTAGAAGCTCTTGCTGTCTTTGAGAAAGCGAATGCACAAAACTTCACAATGGTCAGCTGAATGTAAGAGCAGGAAAATCATTCACAACTGCAATGTGTTGACAAATATTTTACTTTCTGTTACTTATTTACAAATGAGTAAACATGGAGGGTTTAATTAGTTCAGTTAGATATAAATATAATGTCTGTGATTATGTTTTAATGTGCAAAAACCTGCTGGATGCTCTTCCCCTTTTTATTATTTTTGTAATGTGTCAAAATAAGTCAATCATTTCAAAATGGATCATCTCTGTGTGTAATGTTGATTAAATCAAAGGCGTGCTTTTRTTTCTTTGTTTTAAAATATGGTAACAAATGTGTTGTTTTTTCATGTATTTCATTTTTTTATTATTGTTATTATTAAAGCCCCGTAGGGATAATTCTACCGTGACGGCCCCTCATCTGGACTCKTGATTATTTATCCTGATGCAAATGTCAGATTGGGCTCAGAAGCTACTCATAGGGTTGTTTGTTTTGTCTTTTGWTTTGTTTTTTGTTTTGTTTTGTTTGTAGCAGATTGTTTCAGACAGACCAATGCTGTGAAGAATAAAAGTGTCAATCTGAACCTGGAGGTTTAATCTGAAAGTGTCTTCAAATCTTCACCTGAATGCCACACCTAACATTTGACTCTAAATCAAAGCTTTTATGCCATTCAGCTTTTTGCCTCATTTGTCAAGTCAGGAAAAAAAAACACTACTGAATGTTCTCTTTCAAAATTAAAGCATATTTAACCTACATATATTTATCATGTCCAAAAATATTATTACTTCTTTCACTTATTTCTTATGAGGTGCAAACTCACATCACTGGAAAGAGTTTTACTTTGCTGAAGCCTATGTTATTGCAGTGGTGTCTCATGTCACATGCTTTTAGTTTTTCTGCTCTTCAGCAAATCTTCAAGTTCTGCAGAAGCCTGTTACTAACTTATTTATTCAAATCAGGTGTATCAAAGCAGACAAACATGTAAAATTTAGATGTTTCCCCTGGTTCTAGGATTTTTTTAACGTTGAGCTTTTAATTTAACTGAATAAAACTTGGTTACGTTTTTTTCTCTTCATGGGAACAGCTACGCGAGTTTTATTTTGAAGGGCTCCGCCGGAAGTTTAGCTGTTTTCTCCGTTTAACTTCACGGACTGCAGGAAATCTGAGTTTTATGGTCATCCTGTCTGTCTCAGGGCTGGGTTTTTCTTTCTTCCAGCAAAACGAAGAAAAACAAGCGATTTTTAAAACATGACGAGACAAAGACGACGATTTAACGCGAACAAATAAGACACTTTCGGGACTTGCCATGGCGATAAGGGAGCTCAAAGTTTGTCTTTTAGGGGTGAGTAAATGAGCAGGGATGTGTTTGCTGATCAATTTTTTGGGGGGAAAAATTCCTTCAGCGTGAGGCGAATGGAACTAACAAAAAACATGTTGACGCTGACAAGAACCTAACTTTTCTTAAATTTCTAGTTTTCAAACCTTCTTTTCTTTGCGTTCTGAAACGCAAAGAAAACAAAAATGCATAACTAATCGGTTGGTTTAAGCAGTATTCTTTTTTTGTTGTTTATATTAAACAGTTTTAGCCTCTCAAAGCATAAAAACAATCGCYTTTATATTTGTGTTTTATCCTAATTTCTTAACGGCTTCTTAACCCATGACGTCAACCTCAGCAGACGCACGCGAGAATCGTTTAATTTCTTGCTGCGTCTGCAAAAAAAGGATACCTTTGTTTTTTGTCTTTTTCTTTTAAAAAATGACATGATTTGTATCTTTCGGACAGAAAAATTACACTTTATTAATAAGATAAAATGAAAGGATGAACTTTTTAGATCTCCAGGCCTGTTCATACACAACCGTGTATTTCTATCCTTATTAGGACTGTTCATTGACTTCCATTCATTTTCAGTCTTTCCTGTAGCCTAACCCAAAATCTTATTAGGACCAGTCTTTGGTTCCTAAAAGGACCACTGGTCCTGACAAGGTAACAAAAACCTTTGAAAACACACACACACACACACACACACACACACAGGCCCCAGACATCTCATAAAGAGTTTAATTAATTGAAATTACCAGCTACTCTTGTTTTCATGAGTTCCTATAGTGGATATTCATGCTTGCACTATTAAAAACCAAAATAAAAGCTGCTGGTGTTCAAGTAGAACCAAAAATATTGCTGAAACATGCAACATAAATGCTTTTAGTTCAGGTCAACTTTAGTCTAACAAAATGAGCTTGTGACCTCACTCAGTGAGGTTCAAAGTGACCACTGATTGATTGATTGATTGATTTTGCTGCGACTGATATCAGACTTCTCTCTTTTCAGGACACTGGCGTTGGCAAATCCAGCATTGTTTGTCGATTCGTCCAAGATCACTTCGACCACAACATAAGCCCGACCATAGGGTGAGTAATGGATCACATGAGGAGACAGGAAACGGACGGATCAGTCAGTCTTGTGCTTAGACCTGACCCYTGAGCTTCAGTGGATCAATACTCAAACGACCGACGAGGTTAAGTGATATGCAGTTGTGAAACGTGGGTACAAAGTCAACGTAAACAAAGCTCTCGGCTGAATCGAGTCACGTGTGTAGGTAAACAAATAAACAAGCACCTCTGAAGGTTGATCAGCTGTAAATGTTACAGGTTTCACAACAAACAGTTTAAGCACAGATTTTTCACAATAACTTAGTGCTGAGTTGCAGCCCCTGAGTTAGCGGATTATGAGTTAGCAAAGCTAACGTTTTAGTWAGCGACGCCTGCCAARGAGCATATCAAAWGTTTAAACTGAGAAATATTAAGTTTTTGCTTTAGGTGAATTTAAATTTGATCGCAGTAACGCATCTCAAAAAGTTGGGACATGTTCACCTCTGCGTAGCATCCAGCCTGTTATCAGCGTTCAGTTCAGAAGCCTGCCTCTCTGATGGTATGGGGGTGCATTGGTGTGTCTGACATGAACAGCCTAAACATGTGGAGGGGCAACGTAAGTGCAGAAAAGTAAACAGAACACTGTAGGCTCCCATCAAGATGACATCGTTTTCAGGGAAGGCCTTGCATTTTTCAGCAAGACAATGTTTGCTTTTCCTCTTCAAGCATTCAGAGAATATAATAAATCCAAAAACACAAAGAATAAAAAAAAGATAAGAATTCAAATCCTATTAGAAACATGTTGTCAGCACGTTTTCTTTTTGATCTTTACAGTCACCTGGTTTCACCATCAAACACTCTTATTTCTTTATTCATTTTCTGATGACTCTAAACAGATTGTTTTCCTTTTTTTAAATGAATGACGTTGACGTAATGTTGTGAAATAAATCCAACAGGGCGTCATTCCTGACCAAGACAGTACCGTGTGGAAATGAGCTCCATAAATTTCTAATCTGGGACACGGCGGGACAAGAACGGGTGAGTAAACATTAGAAGCATGAGTTTACACACACGTGGCTCTTCCTGAATATCCTYTTCAGGACAAATTTTTACCTTTGAAACTTGCTTACAGCACAGAAAAACTAGTTTGAATGTTTCCTGGATGTGTGAGAAAACAATAGTTTCAGATTTCCTTCCATCACTAAATATTTTGTCAGATCAATAATTAGTCTCTTCATCCAGAGAAAGTTGTTGTTGTTGATGTTATGATGGTGGAGGAACTATTCTTTGTAATTAACAGGATTTCAGTGAGAGACTTCACCCTGTTCGTTTTGCTTACATCATCATTAACAGAGGAAAATACGCTGCTCCTTTGTGCTGACMACAGCAGACAGTTTTACTGAAGTAGATCATTTTATCACAGCAAAAACCCTCCAACACAAAAAATATCAGACTGAAACACTCAGCTCTACTGCTCATCCCACAAATGCATGTTCCTTACAAATGTGGCAGCATTTAAAAGAGAAATTAACAGGATTTACAACAATGTAAGATTTATTGCCAAGAAGCATTGTTACAAAGAAATAATCTACCAAACACACATTTATTTACTTTTTGAGCTCAGTTTACAAAGAAGAATAAAAGAACTGATTTCTTCTGCAGGACATTATTATAAGCAGCTGTGATAATGACAATAAAACAAATGATAAGTCAGTTTCAACCACCATGTTGAACTGATCAATTAAAGAAATTTGTTAAAATTAATAACATCAAACTCTTATTTTAATAACACGGATGTGGTTACTCAAAAATTCAATTTATTTGTAAGCTCACAAAAGGAAATAAAGTCTTTGCACAAGAAGTTTGATAAAAAAACAAACAATAATTAGTAAATGTGTGTTATTCCAATCATCCCAGACTTTTAAAGATTGWACAGTAATTCTTAATGTGGCAAACTGATTTTTTAAATGAGATAAAGCTGTTTTAATGTTATGATTCAGGTTTAAAGCTAACTATTTTAAAATTTCCCCCGTGTTTTTTTAGTTTCACTCATTYGCTCCCATGTACTACCGAGGCTCAGCTGCTGCTGTCATCGTCTACGACATAACTAAACTGGTAAGTTTGACTTGATTAGTTCTCTGTATCAAATGGGACCTGATGGAAAAAAAGGGAAGAATTGTTGTACAGAAAGTAAAAGAGTCAAAACTTACTTTTCCTCTGCTCTGGGATGTTTGTGCTCCTGACCTACAAATGTCATTCTTTCCTAGTCGTCTAATGGAAACTTTTGTGAAAACATTAAAACTGCGACAGGAGTTTATAAAAAAAAATGCTGGGGCGTATTRGTCATGAAAGCCTCGTGCCGGAGCTGACCGATGTCTTCCTGTTATCCAGGACTCTTTTCAGACACTGAAGAAGTGGGTGAAGGAYCTGAAGGAACACGGGCCGGAGGACATCGTTGTGGCCATAGCTGGAAACAAGAACGATTTAGGAGACATCAGGTACTTCTCCTGTTTGACTGTCTGAGCTTTTTATTTAGAGAAAAGCTTATTTTTCTAGACTCCCCGCACAGAACTCTAATGGTGCGTTCACACCAAACGTGATTTCAGCATCAGGAGCAGCAGGTTTACATGCAAAATCTATGGTGGACGCGTTTCAATCAGCGTCAGGAAGTGCTGCGGTGCCTCAAGCGTGATTAGAGCAGCGCGATTTGAACGATTTGAGCGTTCGACGTGCTTGATGCGCAAATCGCTGAAGTTAGAAAATCTGAACTTTTGCAGCTCGACGCGCCACATCAACCAATCAGAGAGACTCCACTGTGTGACGTAGCAACATACAGTATTTCTAGACGGGACAGTTTACTGAATGATGTCCACTAACTTGAAACAGATGGAGAGGAGCTCTTTAGCTGAAATCGAGTGCCTGCAGCCGGTGTCCTGACAGGAGATATCCGCACCAATGCGTGGCAGCGGCTCATCAGACTGGAAAAATAGTCCTGAAAGCGAGCTGTGAGCCTCTACTCTGAATTATCTGGTGAATTAATTATGAATTAATTATCTGATGAACGTGACATGCTCTTGCTCTGTAAATAAAGCAAAGCCACTTCCTCGTCCGACATTAAACAGAGCCCGACAGAGGAGGGAGGGGCGGGGAGGCTGTTGCCGTGCAGCGCTTCAAGAGCTGTCCTGCGTTTGACCTCAAAGTGCACAAGTGACCAACTTGAAGCGTTGGKTGRGATTTTGAAGCTGAAATCGCGTTCGATGTGAACGCAGCATTAGATGTTTGAGAAAGCAGCTGGAACACAGCGATGATGTATTTTATTGTGTTCGACAGGGAAGTTCCTATGAAGGAGGCAAAGGAGTTTGCAGAATCAATCGCAGCTATTTTTATTGAGACCAGCGCCAGAAACGCTGTTAATGTTGAGGAGCTCTTTCAGAAAATCAGTAAGTTTTTTTCTTTTTTTTTTTTTTGTCTCATCTGTCTTTTGTGCGAGTATATTCTTACATACAGTCTTATCTTTTTGTACAACATTTTGAAGGATATGTTGAGGAGCTCTTTCAGAAAATCAGTAAGTTTTTTTCTTTTTTTTTTTTGTCTCATCTGTCTTTTGTGCGAGTATATTCTTACATACAGTCTTATCTTTTTGTACAACATTTTGAAGGATCTGTTGACAGAAATGGAGTCAAATGTTACACTTTGTTGGAATTTGGTGATTTTTCTTCAGGATATCAACAAGTTAATTTTATTTTCGAGGGTGCTGGTTTGAAAACCACTTTATATTTAGAGAAAATGTTCAGAGAGTATAAAACAAAATTATTTCTGAGGACAAACCTGTTAGACTTTGATTTAAAGGTAGATTATCTGCTGTTTTAATTACTGGGATCACTGGATAGTGTCTTTGTGGACTCGTTTCATGTGAATTGGACGCTGCAGCTTGTGCTCATTGTGACTCAGTTTGCCAGCACGTGTCACAAATGTCACTTTAGAGTTATTTGTTTAAACTCATTAATAAAGACGAAACACTTTTGTCTGTCACCTTTTTTTTTAAATTAGGCAAACAGATCCCACCCCTGGAAAACCCTGAAGTAGAAAGCAATGATTCCTTCAAACTCACCCGACAGCCCAATTCCACCAGCAGGAGGTGCTGCTAGTACCAGGAGGACCTGATAGACCCACCACCAGGACCCCCGCCGGCAGGCACAAAGTCCATGATGCAGTATTAGGAGACTGAGGTCAGAACAAGGGGAACAAAAACAAAGTGTTGTCAGTGTTATGTAGATCAGAACATGTTTATATGTCATGATGTTGAAGCAGYAACCTGTTGGATTTGCTGCCCTCTGGTGGTGATTCGACTGCATTACATTTTACAAACTATTAATACAATAAAATTTTAAGATCAATTCTAGAGTCACCTGCTGTTCAGATATTCTAATCTGCATCAATTTCAAGTTGTTTACTAAAGATATAACTTTGCACTCATCCACTCTTGGAGCATTTGTGCAGATTGTATTTAGAATATTTAAATAAGAGGCGAAACCAGTTCCTCTTTGTTGTGTACTTTATACATGCTGGTTTATTTAAAAGGTTTCATGTTGCACAACGAACGGCTCCAAGGCTGAAATCCATTATTACACCCTTCTGCAGAAATGGTGTGAGCAGRATTAGATTTGTTTACATATAAACATCACTACAGCTGGAAACAGCTGCCAAACAGCAGCTTAGCTTGTGTTTTACCAAGAGAAATAATGTCAATAAAGACATAAAAACTATAAGTAAATACTTCTTGTTCTAAAAAACACTTTTTACACATACTGGACTCTGGAAGGAATGTTGCAACAAAAAGGTGCACAAACTGAAATTATGTTTAGCTCCTGTTTTTAACAATAACGTATACAAATTTGATCACTTTAAAAGTGGAAATAGTCTGTTTAATAAAAGTCTGCAGTTTTTTTTATAATTTAGTTTGTCATGACATCAGGGTTTAATTAAATATTGGATTAAAGATGAAGAATCTATTGTTTTGTATAAAAAAGATATTTTAGGATTTTTCCACTTAAAAGCAAAATTAATATAAAATGCACCAAACATCCTTTATAACTACAAAACAGTTTTGCTACAGTGGTTACATTTAAAAACAAGATGAGAAGTGACCTTTAAATTCTTCCAAAACATATTGTTTAAGAAAATATCAGGCTTGGGACTGCAAAAATGAAAGATAAAAGATTAGTAGAGAATCAGAAAATGTTTTTATTGCCACTGAAGTGCCTTTTTAAAGCGAACACCACTCAATGATGTAGTTTTTAGTTGGTACAGTCTTTGAAAGTGTGTTTTCATTTAACCTCATTTTGTAACTCATGCTTGTACWCTCTAGAAAAGAATATTTGTATAATAAAACTTGTAACTAAACTGTTATCTTTGTTTTSTTCTTTTAGTAGGATGGAAGTTTTTTTTATTAAATAAACAGAGGTAACCAACTGCTGACAATTTGCTGTTTTTTTTAAAGGTCACTTGTTTTGTTTTGTTTTTAAGTTAAGACATTTATCTCCTATCTGTCTCATAAGATCACACACCYGTAAACTTTATTACAATTAGGTGACCTTTTGTAGAAATGATCTGTTTCAGTGACAAAAGCAGTTTACATGCAGTGGGATGAGGTTAAATGCATTGACTGAGCAATAATAGTACTACACATATAGTACATCCATTATGAGTACTRGCATAACAAGAAAGTGAGATTACTTATTACCATTGTGGTTCAATAATCAAAAGACTGAGCTAAAAGTAGCTAAAGGCTAACCTAAAGCTAAAAGCATCAGAATGCTGGCTAAAGGCTAAATAAATAGATGAAAAAAATTAAATAGGACAATTTTTTTCTTTTCATTAAATAAAATCTGAATAGCTGAACGTTTTTATGCTCATGCAGTAGTTAGATTACGAACAGAAAACATACGGGGAGGAAATAATATTTTAAAACTAAAACTATGTTTACAACTCTATCCTTTCTTGTACAAAACAACATCAAAATATAATTTTCTTCAAATTTAACGGTTTGTGAGTCACATCAAGACCGTTTCTCGTTTAATCAGATGTTCTCTTTTCCCTAAACACGTTTAACGAGTTTATTTCGGTTTAATTGCATCTGATACCGAAGCACGAGGACGCCACGCAGGGCTGAGCTCTCGCGCTGCGAACTATTTGTACGCATCTGCGCCTCTCACGCGCACAATTCAGTCCGTAGCGACAGAGGGGATCCAGGATTGCGGCTGACCTCCACGATCCAACACCGAGTCGCATCCCCCTCTGCCAACATGTCGAAACTGGACCAGGTCCTGATTCTGGACCCTCCGTCGGACCTTAAATTTAAAGGTGGGTGAATGAAAGCGACGCGTTTCGAGTTGAATTACTCACCTAACTGGGATTTTTTTTTTTTTTTTACACCCGGGGCTAGCTAGCTTTCACCGCCATTTTAAGTTAGCCAGGGAAAGGACGGGCCGCCGGAGCCTCGAGCTGTAGTGACGTGGGCAGCCGGCGATGCGACCATCCCGGCGGCCTCTCATTCGTCACGACGGGCCTCTGCGGACAACATTTAGCAAAACGTAGGAAGCACCCGGCGCTGTTTTAAACCACTTTAGTTGCATCATTTATGCTAGCAACAATAATGTGTTTTTTCTCTCTTGGAGACGTAGTCTTGAAACTGCAGGGTTAGCCTGAGGTTTCGGGCACCGAGATAAAATTAGTGGGAACAAATCACGTTCAAACTGACACACCTGAGGCAGATACTTTAAATCCGACAGGGATGACATCTGGAAAGGCTAACTCAGAACTAGCTGTAGCATGGCGCTGATATAAATTAGTTTCTGTTACACTTATCGACTTGGAGAGACCATTCATTTCAGAAGTGCTAACGTGTCCCGGACAACGTTACTGACGCAGAACACGCTGATCCGGTCACTAAGTTAGCGCTGATCGCTTACCTGGCAGTGGAAAGGTTTCGTGATGTGTCAGTAACTTGGCTAGCTAATCTGCTAGTTTTGCTCGGTTTGTTACCTGCTCTTAAAGTCCTACTTCCAACTGTTGCTTCAAACAAATAAGCAGCTGGTCTCATTTCATTGCAGAAAGTTTTTCATGGTTAATAATTGGGAAAAGCCTTGATCTTTGGTTCCCAAAGGTAGGCTCAGGACCCCACTGCAGGTCAGAAAATACCAGGTTTGTGGTCCTGAGTTCATCTCCACAAAAATAAACTATGCCTTGACTGTATTTGTTACTAAAGATATTAACAAAAGTCATAAACTGGTCAAAACATAGCATCACAATGTGTTTTAAAATGTATTTCTGGTCACTGTGCTCCTGCTGGTGTTCTTGTTRAGCCAGGGATGTTTGAGTTGGCTAATTTTTGGGTTAGTAGAAGCTAAAATGTTTTTATTTTGTTGTAGAATATCCTTCTGCTTTTCTGGTATTTGTCCCAGTTACTGGTTTTTGTCCTGTCATAGAGACACTTGTTCTATTGTTACCTTTAAAAAACAAGAATCCTGCTGCTTCCTTGTAGCACAGAGGTGCAGTTATTGCMTTCACAGCCACAACAGTATAATAGACAAATAATTGTCATGCTGGTGAGAACAACTGAGAATTTGTCTTCGGTTTATTTAATCTTACGAATATTAAATTAGTGGTTTTACTACCTTGACTGCTACTTTTCCCCCAATTAACGTAATTGAACTTATTGTTTTGTCTTTTGACTTACTGTCTGATCATGTATTGGTGCTTTTGCGTAAATCTGATGTTAAAATGCCTAATTGGTTGAGTATTTAAAAGTAAAAGCTATAAACAGAAAATAAGGCTACAAGTGAATAATGATCGACAAGTTATATTTCTTAATTTATTTCTACCGATGAATGGAAACAATCTCAGTAACTCTTGAAATGATTTAATTGTTAGTTGTTTTACAAAGACGTGCTCGTGAAATGTTTCTTTCAGGCCGTGCTTCATTTTGATGGTTGAGGGGAGAAAAGAAATGTGAGTAAAACCCATCAAGTGTCCCCAAAAATGGAACATTTCAAACCGAAGAGAAGCAGAAATGTTTCACAGTGGATCTGCTTCAAAACTGAATTAGCTTACCGAAATAGTATCCACATCAATAATTCAATGTTTCAACAGAAAGCATTCAGTCCACAGAGCAGAACCAACACAAGCTAACTCTTTTTTTGATTAGCATTTAATGCAAATCGGTGTCCTTGCTGGTTGAGTCYGATGCTGTTGAAGAACACGCATTAAAGGTGCTCAATGCAAACTATAAAATAAAACCTGAAGGTGTATCCTGGGCTCTTATTGAACTGTTTTTTTTAAATTTCATTTTATTTCAAWTTTTTTTTGGAAAGGGTTTACTTCAGTAGTTTTGCAGATGTGACATGCAGTTCTGAATTGCTGGGATGTGCTTAAAGTAAACAAAACATTCAGACTAATCTGCTGAAAATCCCAGAAGTTTGTCGTGTGACCTACATCGGGTTTAAGGTCACAGCAGACAGTGTGCTGTCTTAATCTCCTGTGTTTATCTTAAAATTTATAGTTTATAGGATCTGGATGTTTTGATGAGTAGAAGTATGTGTTTTTGAGGCTTGTACTGAGCCCAGTATCTGTATTTGTATCTATGCTGTCTAGTACCAATACATCAAAAATTGCCAGACGTCTCCATCCCGAATGACTCTTCTGTGGGTTTTCAGACCYTTGTTGACGTATTTTCAGTCACTTRGGCTGTTTTAGGCTGGTAATTAGACGCATGTGGTGGTCGGCAGCTGGGCATGAATTTAGTTTAAAAATTTTAATTGAACAACACTTTAACCATCGTGATTAGAATGTGCAGTTTTTTCTTATTGCTTTTTTTTACCTGTTTTTCTGAYTACCTGTGTGTAAAATAACGTATGCAAGTGCAGGAAAGTGGCATATACATTAAATAATATGAATACTTGTGGTCCCAAAACATGTCTTCCTGTTACTGAAATGATGAATGTTTTCAGTCCTGTTGAAATTCAACAGCGCAGGTCTGTGTGGATGAAATGATCTGTTCAGTTATTTGGTTTCTTAGTGTTTTGAAGAGGTCAAGAGTTTGATCTAAGTGAATATTTGTCCCTTGGCTGAACTTTAAATTGATATGGTGTTATCCTGCTGACACAAACATAATATAATCTGATACTGGAGCTTCATGTTGTACCTGATTTTGGTCATTTAGCTCTGATTTAACTTACTCTGATTACTGATCAGTCACAGGGTTTACATTTTCCCTCATCAGATGAACTTTTTGGTCTTCATATATTGTAGATTACAAATTGAAAGCTTAAATTGCAGTGATATGACATCTGCGATTTTTATACTGAAAGTCTTTATATCACACTGTTCTCCTGCATTCAAGCCAAAATGTTCAATCTAAGGAATGGGAGGGGAAAACCAGGGTGTTACACCTGCTGTTTATTGGATATATAT